TGTTATCTGCAATTCCTCTGTTGTTGTCTATATATTGACAATTTCCAATTCCCTGGCCCTCACTGCATCTTCTTCACCATGGATGGCCAATCCTTGTATACCTCCAAACCAACCACAATGGTCTGAGAGCTCTCTGCTTCTTCCTTGACCAGAAGCCTGAACAGTCCCCATCGACCACCATTCTCCTCCATGTGGTTGAACTTGTCTCACTGAATAATTTCTCCTTTAATTCATATCACTTCTGCTAAGTTAAAGGAGTGGCTATGGGCACCCACAAGGGTCCCAGTTATGCCTGCCTTTTTTTGGGGTATGTGGAACAATTTTTGTTCCAGGTCTACACTGCTCCCCCCCCCACCCCCCACCCCCCACAACTCTCTTTTTCTCAGTACATTGACCGTTTTGATGCTGCTTCATGCTCCCACCTGGATCTTGAAAAATTTGTTAATTTTTGCTTCCAATTTCAAGCCCACTATAACTTTCACGTGGTCCATTTCTGACACTTACCTTCCTTTCCTTGACGTCTCTGTCTCCATTTTGGGAAATAAACTATCCTCTGCCATGCAGTACAAAGTCATTGACTCCCATAACTGCCTTCATTACAGCTTTTCACAACCCATGTCCTGTAACAATTCTATCTATTCTCCCAGTTCCTTTGCCTACGTTGTATCTGTCCAAATGATGCCACCTTCCAAAACAGTGCTGCTGATGCAGCTTCCTTCTTCCACAACCGTAGTTTCCCACCCACAGTGGATGACAGGCCTATCACCCTTGCTTCAACCCTTGACCCTTCCCATCACTCAATAGTGTGATCAGGCCCCTTTGTCCTCACTTTTCACCCCACCAGCCTCCATTCAAAGGATCATTTCCACCATTTCAGACAACTCCAGCAGAGCTCCACCACCAAACACTTCTTTCCCTCACTCTCCCTGTCTGCATTTTGCAGGGACCTTTCACCCCAGGGCACCCTGGTCTTTTCCTCGATGGCTACCAACACCACCTCCTTTTCCAATGGCACCTGCCAATGTAACTGCAGAAAGTGAAACATCCCCTCCCCCCTTCACCTCTTCCCTGCTCACCAAGAGCCTAAACAGTCTTTCTGAGTGAAGTAGCATTTCATCTGTACTCTCCATTCTGGTCTATTACATTCATTGGACCCAATGTGGCTAACTCTACATTGGAGAAACCAAATGCAGACTGGATGACCGCTTTGCAGAACACCTCCGGTCCGTACACAAGCAAGACCCTGACCTTCCTGTAGCTGGTCATTTTAACACAGCATCCTGCTCGTGTGCCCACTAGTCTGTCCTCAATATACTGCAATACTCCAGCAAATCACAGCACAAACTGGAAGAACATTATCTCATTGTCAGACTAGGCACTTTACAACTTTCTGGACTTAGTATTGAGTTCAACACCTTCTCATTGTGAGTTCACTGCCATTTCTTTCCTTTCTTTTGGCTTTACTTACATTCTCTATCATCATGCCGCAACCACCACACCACCGCACCCCACCCCACCCACCCCACCCCAACCAACTCCAGTGCAACCATCTGTTCATTCCAGTTTGGCAGTTGGACACACCGTTGTTCTGCCATTCTCACATTCTGACCATTTAATCTGCGCCATCGGTCCCCTTTCTCCCCCAGCACTCTTCCGCCACACTATTGCGTAAATGCTGCCCCCTCCACACTTCTTGTCTACTCGGATGAAGAGTCATCGAGACTAGAAACGTCAGCTTGCTCTCTCTCCACGGATGCTGCCTGACCCGCTGTGATTTTTTTTGTTTTCACTAAAGCATCTCAGCTCCACTTGCTGAATCTGTCTGCAGTATGTCCCATTACCTTCTGATACATGCAAGCATTCTACCACTAAATTATCATTCACTCTGTTAATAGTATTTAAGTACCTAATCCTATTGCTGTTTAGCTACTTTAGTTTTCAATGTTTGCTCCAAACAAATGTACAATTTTCTTCCTTTCAATTTTGTAAAATTTTGGCCCAACGAACTAATATGTAAAAGTGAAGCTTTATTCAATTTCATGAGTTTATAATTAGCAGTGATGTATTGAAACATGGTTTGTTTGAGGCAGTAAATACAGAAAATGCTAGAAAAATGCTGGTCAGATAACGTGTGCACGGAACAAATAAGTTAACATTACAGTTATAAGCTTTTGTGTTCGCGACAGTATTTTAATTACTGTCTTAGTCACAATTTGCAAACTGTTAGCTGAGAGAATCATTGGTAGCACCCTTATCTCTGAATTAGAAGGTTGTAGGTTTAAGTGCTATTTTTAAAACTAGAAATATAATTTTAAGACTCAATCACTGCTGCATAGTCTGAAATGTTTTCTGCTTGAATATTGAACTAAGGCATATCTGCTTGTTTGAGTTGACTTCAATCTCATGGCACTATTACAATAGAAAATGAGTGCTCTGACCAACATTTATTCTCAACCAATGACACTAAGAAAATATCATTTGACCATTTATCTAATTTCTCCACAGGATCTTGCTGTATGAAAATTGTCTGCTATATTCACATGCATAACTGGCCTCTGGAATCTCCATTGGCTGTGAATATTTTGAGATGATCTGAAATAAATGCAATTTCATTTTTGGTAACATAAGATTTAAGTATGAATTTATGTAGTCAGTTCTTTCTACCGGCCCTGACCGCAATCTTAAGTTTCAGCTCCACCCCAGCAGAAACAGGAAAATTTCATATTTGAAGTTTAAGGTTTAATTTTTCAACTTAGAGCTGCATTGGTCATCTTGCCATCTGTCTGCTCGAAATACTCAATTATGTGGTACAAGCTTGAATTTACTAAAAATTCCTAAATTCCTATAAATTACTAAAACCTGCGAAAGCAAAGCAGCTCGGATCTTCTTGAGGTGTCAAGGATCTTGTCAGTCAGCTGAAGAGCTGGCAAGAGACGTATGCTGCCTGTTTCAGGAAAGGCCTGCTGAGTCATATGCCAATAAGATTGTGGCAAGGCTGCCAGTGGGCCTTCCATAGTCCCTGGAGGTGAAGTCTGATCTAATGAAAGCTGTTGACCAACCAGAGGCTGGCAACCCCTGCTCAGCAGCATCACAGGAGAGCATGACTGTTGCTGGAAGAGCAATTCTGAAGTCCCAGGATTGTGAATCAACCGCTTTATCAAAGGTAGTTGATGAGGATGGTCTTGCGTTGGGTCACCAGAGTGTGGCTCGCAGTAGGCACCCCCTGCCCATGACCAGTCCCTAAATCTAGCATCAGTTACTTTTTTGAGTGAGACCCCATACACATGTGACTGGGTGCCCACAGGATAACTGCTGTCATTCATAGCAACATGCCCATTTGCAGCAAGGTTAATACCAGTGACAGTGGGCTGGTGGCATTTAAGTGGTACTTAATTATCTATTTAGCCTCAGTTGGTGGCAGAGATGCCACCCTTACACTACCACCCGAGCTCTGCCTCCCTGCTTGCCACTTCTGGGAGCAGAAGGTTGTGCCTGAAGCTTTACTTGCATTTTTGGACTTGTTCTGCTTTTGTCCTTTTGGAACATGAACAAAACGACTAAATGAAAGGTTTGATCATTTCAATGTTTTCTGATCGTTACTATGGAACTTATCTTTTGTAACTATATTGATCATATTGTGTATTGTAGCATTTAATAAATTACCAATTCAGCTAATTTGTGTTTAGTCTGTGCTATTTTTTTGTTAATTGTCAACAATTCTAAAGGTAAATTTCAGCAAAAGTACATGTAATATGCACTGCCTTTGCATTATGTTGCAAACACACCAGTAAATGCTATTGTGGTCTCCTTTGACATTAGTCTGGTATTCCATGCAGATACGGCATTATCATTACCATTATTAAATGATGTTTAATGATCAAGCTGAGCATAACTACAGCTTTCAACCAGGAGCAGGGATCCAGTTGGTTCCTTGATTTTAAAATTGGAAGTGTTGTTTCTTTATGTAGCTACTGAGTTAAAAATAGCGACACCAGACTTTTCCCTTTCTCTCCTTCCACTTAAAGTTTATTGTTTGCTTTATCTTCTTAATTTTTTATGTTTTCTCAATCATAATTGTTAATTTCTATTTGAAATCTGAAGGTATACTGTTTGAAAAATCGTACACATTGTGCTACTGCTCAAGATTACAAGACAAGATGAAGGACTTTTTGTTCTTACTTAACGTATTTTTCTAATCAACCTTTTTGATGATGCTTTTATACATCTCTGGAGCAGGTGGGACTTGAACCTGGGCCTCCTGGTCCAGAGGTAGGAACATTTCCACAGTGCCACAATTTACTCATCTTTCATCCTGACACCATTTCATCCATCTGTTACTTAAATGATTTCAGTTATGTTAAATTAAAGAGCTGAAGTTCTCCTGTCTTTTCTCTACCCTAGTCCTTAATATTATAGGTTGCCGTCCAAAACCCTTGGTGACTGGAATTGGATGCAGTCTGTGAGATGTGACCTGACTGGAGCATCGTGCAGTTTGATTGCAACATTCTCTGACTTCATTGCATAGTTCAACATCTTATTGGCATGGCCTTTCTGGATGGTTGGACATGTTGAGTATTAGGCTTGTTAAGTCCTAATCGGTCAGCTCGTGGCTTGGTGCTAGGACTTTTGTGTCTCTGTCAGAAGGTCGTTAACTGAAGCTGCACTCTGGAGACTTGAATGCCTACATGCTGACAATGCATTGTAGTATGAAGGACTCCTGTATTGTGGCCAGGATGAGAGGAGATTCTAAAATTTGCATTCAGATGCAAAACAATCCCATGCTGTGATTTGCAGAGAAGAATCCTGACCAAGCACAAATCAGCAGTAGCAGACAAAGCAAGTAGCCAGATAGCCAGACATAAACTTATCATTCAGATGATATCCTGATCCTAGAAACCTTTGTACAGATGACCACTGCATTCACATGAGCAATGAACTGAATGTCCAAGCCTGGATTCATAATTTTCATCCTTCTACTCAAAAAATGTCTGTGCCATGCTTTATTGTTCCATTCTTCTATATTTCAGAGCATCTTGACTCTTCTGGGTCTGTTGAAGAGGCAGGAAAATGAGTTCCCTGGTGTCTTCAGAAGTGCAAAGTGGGAGAGAGAACATTTTTGGAGATGCTCCCGCTACAATACAACTGGCTAGGTAAGTGTGGAATCAAGGTGGGCAATCTCACGGAACTACACAATGGAGATCTCCAATTGAGAGCTCCAAAAGGTCAAGATGAACTTTGGAGAGATTATATACCAAGTCAGGCTTTTTTAAACCTGTGGCAGGGATGGTACTCTAATTGAATCTTCACGTGGAGTTCTGGACTAAACGTGTATGGATTTGGAGGACTTTGAGAAGAAATCTGGTATAGAGAGAAATGTAACTTCCAAGGACAGAAGTCGAGTGTGAGTTTGTGGTGTAGGTAAAAGCAATTTTGAAAAGGAAGCAATACAGTACATGAATGTGAACCATTTAAAGTGTCAACTAGTATGAAGGTCAGGATGGAATGTTTGGTCAGTAATTTAGTGGTATTGGGATCAAAAGATCCCACTCTACTGCATCTACATTCTTCTGTCATAATAGGTAAATACTGAAAATCTATTTTTCACTGATTTACTTCATCCACATATCTCCATCATTCCCAAATGCTCATCCTCTTTTGCCACATTATCATCTATGAGCCTTTTTTGCATTGACTGTTATATTCCCCTTTTATTTACCAATTTATTGTTTGTCCTCCTTTTTTTAAATTTGTTAGTCCATTTATCAGTGGAATGCTATAATTGACACCAAATTTAAGAATCGACACCAAATTTTGGACGCTGTTCGGTTTCTGTTCTGAATATTTCACAGTTCCATGCATTATCTTGTGCTTAAACTCCCTTCTGAACCAGGTTCCTTCTTTCACTGTTATCCTTATTAATACTAAACTAAGCGTGAGACCCAGACTAACCACATGGACACCTATTGTTGTGGTAAGGCTTACACGACATAACAGGCTACAAAGCAAAGTTGAACAGAATTGAGGACAACAGTACATGAGCTCAATACGTTCTATGCTGTCTTTGAACAGAAGGGTAATAAAACAATATCACCTGTCCCAACTGCTTCGAATGCTCCTACCCCCTTAGTCACTGCTGCAGGCGTTAAATCATGAGCTTTAAGGGTGAACCCATGGAAATCGACTGGCCTGGATGGAGTCCTTGGCCATGCACTCAGATCTTGCATGGACCAGCTGGTAGGAGTATTCACAGACATCTTCAACCTCTCCTTACTACAATCTGAAGTGTTCACCTGCTTCAACAAGACCATCATCGTCCCAGTGCCAAAGAAAAATCATGCAGTGTGCCTCAATGACATCTACCCAGTGGCTCTGACTTCCATAATTGTGAAGTACTTCAAGAGGTTGGTCATGGCTCGCAACAACTCCAGCCTCCCAGATTGCTCGCTTGCAATTTGCCTACCGGCGCAACTAGTCCCTGACAGATGCCTTCTCCCTGGCCCTGCGCTCATCCCTGAGACATCTGGATGCAAGGATACCCACATCCAGCACCTACTTATTGACCACAGCTCTGCCTTCAACACCATAATTCCGAACAAAAATTTCCAAACCGCAGGGCCTAGGTCTCTGCACACACCCCACCCCACCCCTTCCCCCTGCCCCCACCCCCCACTCTGTAACTGGATTCTCAACTTCTTGCCCAATAGAGCGCAATCAGTAAGGCCAGATGATAACATCTCCTTCACGATAATCCTCAATGCCAGTGCCCCACAAGGCTGCTTACTCAGCCCCTACTATACTCCTTATACACACATGACTGTGTGGCCAAATTACACACCAACTCAATTTACAAGTTTGCCGACAACACAATCATTGTAGGTTGGATCTCAAACAATGATGAGACTGCATACAGTTAAGAGATTGAATGCTTAACGGCGGGGTGTAAAAACAAAAATATCTGCATCAATGTCAGCAAAACAAAGGAGTCACTCATTGACTTCAGGATGCAGAGTGGAGGGCACGCCCCTGTCTGCATCAATGGTGCTGAGGTGGAGATGGTCAAGAGCGTCAAATTCCTGGCAATGACGAACAGCAACAATCTATCTTGGTCTACCCATCTTGACATACAGTCAAGAAAGCACAGCAACACCTCTACTTCCTCAGGAGGTGAAAGAAATTCAGCATGACCATAAAGACTCTTACAAATTGTTATAGGTGCACCGTAGAAAGCATCCTATCTGGATGCATCACAGCATGGTTTGGCAATTGCTCTTCTCAAGACCGAAAAACTGTAGAGTTGTGAACACAGCCCAGTTCATCATACAAATCAGCCTCCCATCCATTGACCTCATCTATTGGGACAGCAACCAATATAATCAAAGAGAACACACACACCACCCCCCCCCACACACCCACTCTCACACACACACACACACACACACACACACACCTCCACCTTGTTCCATTAGGCAGAAGATATAAAAGTTTGTATACGCATACAAAGAGATTCAAGAAACACTTATTCCCCACTGTTATCAGACTTTTGAATGGACCTCTTTAATGTTAATAATGATCTCTCTTTGCACCTTCTTGGCAGCTGTAACATTGTATCCTGTACTCCGTTCTGTTACCCTATGCACTTGTATAGTACAGTCTGCCTGTAAAGCATGTAAGACAACACTTCACTATTCAAAGGTATATGTGACAGTAATAAATAAAATCAAATTATCAACTATTAAGTCTTGCAAGAGAAAGTCAATTGTCCTATCTTGAGACCAGGAAATCAAAGACTTCAGTGTAGGGCTCCAGAGTCAACATCTTGGGTTCCCAATGCGCCTATAGCAAACTGAAGTCTTTTTGCCTTTTCATAACCTCAAAAACAACTCCAATCTGAGAGATTTTCAAAGCTGGGATATTCTGTGCACTTTTGAGATGGTTTTATTGGCAGATTAGTGCAGCTTTTTGATTGGGCTGATGCACAAGCAAGATTTGATTGTGACTGATGTGAATTAAAATGTGAAGTATTGTGTAACATAGATGTTCTGTGAACCAAATTAAGTAGTTTGAAATATATTTAATTTGGTGAATAGGTGTAGTACAGCTTTCATTATTACCACCAGGCTGACGCTTATTTATTCTCAATTGAGATTTCAAACCGTTGGACTTCTGGCATTTTTATGTATTAGGATTTATTAATATGAGAGTATGACTTGCATGGATTTTGAATCCAGGAGAGAAATAATTTTGATGAAATTTATAAGCAATTTTAACAACAAAAACAGAAGGTCCCTTGCTGGAAGTCTGTTTGATTCAATCTGGAAGATTGAGTAAAATGATTTTCAAAAGACAGTGGAAGGAATTTTCTTCTGTAGCAGCAATAAAATCTAAAGGAGTTTGAGACCTAATTGTCCAGGCCATGTTTCTGTTGGCACCATAACATAATGTATAAATGCAGTGTAAGCATATTTGGTTTTCTCAGTTAAGTAATAGGGAAGTATCTTTTTCTTAGTTTGTTATAATTGCTTGTCTGTGAGTAACAGAATGTGAAATCTTGTCATGTAATTCTTTCCACCTGTCACTTAGAGATAAATTTCCAAGTTATTGGCATCTTGGTGTCATAACAGTTGTTAATTATAAAGCAGCTGAAGGTGATTTTGCAGAAATGTGTAATTGACAGATGTGGAACATGATCCAACACATACAAAGACAGGACAAAGGAGCAGAGAAGAGATGCAGTGAAGCTTCACTAACTTGATTATTGGAATAAGAGAAAATTTTATCACCTGCATAAATAAATTTTGTTAATTGGAATGCAGAAGCAGAGCCCACAACCGTTTTGTTTAAAAATTAGTTTCTTAAAAGAAATGTGTTAAATTATATGGTGGGTGTGCAGCAGTGTGTAATTAAAATACAGACACACACACACTGGATCAAATGGCCTATTTCAGTTCTGAAACATTCCATGATTGGAATCCAGTTTGTCTGTTTTGTCAGCTTGGCAGTACTGTTAAACTATCCCTAACAGCATGCCTAACTTTTGCCTTTTGAAAATTGCTATCAATCCACCTATTCCTAATGTTGTCCCTACCATCAGTTTTAAATCCAACAACAGCATTAGCATTGCAACCATCTTAATCGAAACATAAATGACATCTGTGAGATTGTTATCACTTTGTCCTTCTCACCTTCTCTGCTGCTTTTGACATTAATTGTTCCATCCCCTTCAACTGCTTCTCTACAATGATTCACTCTATGGAACTTGACACAATTACAATTCAGTTAGTACATCTACAATAATTTCTCCTTCAGTAACTATCCTAGGTTGTCACAGAGAACCCTCCTTTCGTCTACAAGCAACTGTTCAGAACATAATATATACTCATCGCGTAATGGGTAACAGTTGATTCTGCTTCTTCATCCCCATCACTAGTGACTCCAGGACTGTAGTCGTCTGAGTCAGTAGTGTATATAATGTTACGTGAGCCAATTTTTTCCAAAGTTTGGTATAGGCAGGCCTAAAGTATATTATTCAATTTCTACCTGCTTTTGGCTCTGTTTTAATCATTTCTCCTCACCTCCAGATAACATTTTACAAGTCTTCTTCTACAAATAACCTCCCCATACTTCTATTTTAAGTGTTCACAAACTTCAGATAGCCCATAATTCAATGTGGTATATCTATTTGCTCCATCCGGACCTAGTTTTTCTTGTTCTTTTTGCTTCTGCAAATTATTTCATGCTCCACCTCTATTATTGTCCCATTGTGTATTTGGTATTTTTTATAACATTACATCCTGTTGTGCTAAATCTGGATTGCCACTGCTATCCAAATTCCCAATCTATCCTCCATCTTTCAGGCAATGTATCACTCCCTCAAATTTGTCTAAACTTCATTAACTCACTACTAATATGCATTTCCCTACTTTCAATTATATTTTTTCCAAAATTTCTCTCCTGTCGAATCACTGTGAATGATGGGTCATTTCAAATAACCATTAGAGGTAATAGATATTTATGAAAGTGACTTGGAGTATCAGCCTAGTCTTTTGTCTCTAACAAGACTTAAACCCACAACCTCTTGGCTTAGAGGCAACTGTACTATTTATGGGTAGTGCTAACTACCAACTATCCATCTTGTTCACGAAGGTCCTTT